TTATGGTTTTTAATATGTGATGTGCTTTATTGGAGGGAAGGATGTCAAGGTGGATTTTTATGGCACAATGACCCTTGATTCGTCGGATCCTTAATGTATGTGTGTGCTGAGAGAGACAGAGAGACAGCAATGTATGGCTGTCAGTGATGAATTCATCTCTGTCTGTCTTTGTGCTTCCATGCATTTTTAAGTGTGACAGCAGGTTTGTCTAATACACTACTCTTTACCTCTATCTATAATACATTTCCTGTGTTAACCCTGCCATGCTTTGCCAAGTCCTCTTCATCTTTTTCTCTTCAGCTTGAAGCAGTCTGGGTTTTTTTTTTTTCTGTGCAACCTGGATAGATGCATGAGAACTGTTTATGGACTAATCAGATTGCACAGTTATTCTAAATGGAGAGTGAGAAAGAGGGAGGGACTTTGCAATGATGCCTGACAGATAAACCGAATTATCTTATGGATATTGTTTACTGGTGGACACAGTATTTCCAAGAATAACAAAAGCTACACTGGATCTTGCAGAGCCTGTTGTATTTCAATTCCACTGTACATAGTTCAGGTATTGAGAAGGATCCTCTTGATCATACCGGATGAAACAGCATTCATTGAGAGCGGCAGAGGGACCATAAAATACAAATTCATGAAATATTTATTTGCAACATAACCAGAAACGTGGTTCAATTTTACAGTCAGTAAGCTGAGTATTGGAGTAGTGAGTCAAAGCTAGATGCATTTTTTGCTTTTTTCTTTTTTTGTAAGCGTATGCATTCCCGAGGTAAGGGCAGGGCTTACCTAATCTTGACTCTGTAAAGCGTATTTCATTTTCTATTCATGAATTATTGACTCATGTAATCTTCAGTCCAGGCAGTGGCATTGAAATGCTACATATGCTGATCATTCCATCCAAATTTACAAGGCATTTAATTGTTTCTCACATTAAGACTTAATAAATTATATATATTTCAAATTAGGCATGGCATTGGGTAACTGAGCAGGCACAATGAGCGAAGAGTTGTTTTGCTCGATGGTGGTTTCAGATGTCAGTTTCCCTGTCCACAGGATTCTCTAAATGCTAAGTTAGAATAAACAGACACAGACTGATTTCGCAATGTTTACTTACAAGATGTAATTTTGGCCCTCGCTGGTCATGAAGTAACTGATTGAGGAGGAGCTCCAGATGGTTTTTAGAGCTCATTAAGCTCTTTGCTTTTACTTTAAACAGAAGCGAGATTTAGAAAACGGTGCTTTATAGACTCGGCAGCCTTGGTTTGCACTTCTGGTTTGATTTGATACTGTGTACTTGACGGCTGTTGCGCGTTCACTTTTATTTTATTATTATTTATTTATTTATTATTATTATTTATTATTTTGCTGTTCAGATTTGTTCTTTTAGACTTTGTGGGATGATGTTTCCAGATGGAGAGAAGTAACCAAACATCTCTAAAGCATTATTGACAAAAATGCCTCTGCAATATGTGCAACATGTCTCGTTCAGTGGTCTGTATTTTTTTTTTCTACATAGATGATTGCAGGAGTCTTTCTGAAGCTCACTGATGATCATTACAAGGTCATGAGGCAGGATGTGGGTGGGTTGCCGAGGCGTTTTTACAGCTGGCTGAAGTGATACATTTCTGCACCATAATGTGTTAAGATCAAAGAATGCACCCCAGTTGTTATTTGTCATCCTGAAGTCCAATTTAGTGAGATTTACTGGAATTTGAAAGTTACACAATTGAATAGGAAACATTTTGTGCACGTTGTGTAAGAAGCGCTGACATAGATTGTGTGTTTTAATGAGAACAGAAAATTGATGTCTTTCTTATACACATCTCCCATCAAATCAATCCTCAAAAGCTCCTCGGTGGCCTGGTTTGGAACCTGAGAGAGGCGGAAAAGAATGTCAGTATTGTGAGTGTAATAAATGAGATCATTTTTATTCAACAGAGCATCCTCGCTGATGTCTACAGTGTGAACAAGTCAATTTGAGCCACTCCCTTTAGGTCACAGAATCAGACAAGTACACGCTAATTAGACGGGCTGAATTTCTCATTTCTTCTTCACTTTGCAAACCTGTTTGAGAGTACTAATAGACTTTCCATTCAATACCTCTCTTTTCCGTTGCTATAAAAGCTGCCTTGGATTATTATTTGTTGTGGTTTAATGGGTTTAATGCTCTTATTTTGTGACCTCTGTTATAGCAGAACAGCGGCAGCCTCCAGTTGAAAGAAACAGTTTGCAGAGATTAGATTATGCATATGATACATTACGCATTCATTCACCATTAGCAACAAAGCCTTAAAGCACATTTTACAGTTGTCACAAAAGAGAAACAGCCAATAAAGTTTTTCCCTCAGTCTCATTATCCCTTCCAAAATCTATTAGCTTATTCTCTCAGATATGGAATAGGTAGTGTATTTTGCACACTACCCTTTTATGTGTGCCTGTGTGTCTGTACGTGCCTGTATTTACCAAAGAAGATGGAAACCACCTGCTTAATACTGTGTAGGTCATACTTGTCACACCAAAATGACTCTGACCCACAAGGTCATGGATACAGGACCTCTAGGGATGGGACTCGTGTTCTTACAGAACCTGAGTAACACCTATGGATCTTTTTTATGGTGTTTTGCTGGCTGCAGGCATGTGTTTAGATGGGAGTTACTTGTACAGTTAACATCAACCTACAGTAAATGCCTGGACGAAAGGTTTGATCTGTGTTATTCACTCTTTTTTGCCACTGGTTTTATTGTTGTACCTCATCAGGGTATGTATTTTTGTGGACAATATGGTGTGAATTGGAATTTAGCTAAATGTGCAATCCAGACATAATGTAGAAGTTACATATTCACTCACACTCTTAGATACTCTTTGAGGAGTCTAATCCCCTTTGTGAATCTGTCAGCCTTGTTGTTACAAGCACAATAGGATTATATATGTGCGTGTGTGTGTGTGTGGATGTATCGGTGTGTATGATGCAAAGGAAGACACTGACTGCATATGGGGGATTGGGTTTGTTTAAGTCTCTGTGTGTTGCATGCATGTACTGTACTGTGTGTGTGTGTGTGTGTGTGTGTGTGTGTGTGTGTGTGTGTGTGTGTGTGTGTGTG